AATACATTCATAGGGGAAGAAACCATCAGTTTAATTCCTCCCCACCTTAGATAGAGCCCTTTCTATAAAACATCTTTGATACTAATATTTTATAGGACACACTTTGAGAAATTCTGCTGTAGAATGGGGCATTGTCTATTTACTGGAGAAAAGTAAAGCTAATTATGTAGGATTTTGTTAAAAATTCTTAGAGCCTGCTTTGTTGTGTGCTATTGACTCATTCAGACTCATAGAGAATCCATTTTAGACATACCGATTCAGCAAATCAGGGGGTGGGCCCCGCAGTCTGTGTTTTAGTAAGCCCTGCACATGATTCTGATGCAGCTTACATTTGTGAACTGCTTCCTTAAGTTGATCTTCAAAGTAAGTTTAATATCTCAACAATCTTGGCAAATAGTCCAGTTGCCAGGACATACCAGCCTTAATTGTTCTGAGGAATTTATCCCCCCTTCTCTAATTTCCAGTGACACAGTGTTTTCTGTTTTTTAATACTTTCTCAAGGTGCTCTAAAAATGGCAGAATGATTTTTCCCAGTTGAAATCTCCATCTTCTTAGGTTGAACCCATATTATCTGCTTCCTGGATTACGTAGCTATTCCTTGAACAATTAGACTTTAAAGGAGCTTATTACTATCATTTTTTGTTGTTGTTTCTAATTTCTCATGCAAATAAAAATTCAGTCAACACTCACACTTACTTTCTCTCTTTTCCAAAGGTGTTATAAATATATTTTAAAAAAATAATTCAAAACTCAAAACAGAGCAGTCTGATCTCTACTTTTTCTCTCACTCTCCTTCCAAAAGATTTTTCTTCCAGAAAGAATTCTCTCATTCTTCCTCAACTATCTTTGTGTAGCTCAATCTTCATCCTTTAGAATGAGAAATTTTTTAATTTATTTTTATGAGGAATAACTATAGACCTAGTACATTAAGCTGTACAAAATATTCTTGGCCCTTTTTCACCTGAACCTGGTCACCCAACCAGTATCCAAGGGAATTATCCTACCTTGATAGCAGATGCTATTTTTTTCTTTTTCATTTGAAGTATCCAGTCCCTAACTATACACTCTTATAATACATCATTCATTCAAGGAAGTAATGTTTAAGGGGGAAACAATTTTAAGTTTTTATTATTAATAAAATGCCACATTATACATAATAGTAACACCAACCATTATGGAGCACATTATGTTCTTGCGACTGGGACAAGTAGTTCACATATATTATCTCAGTTAATACTCATTAAAACCATTACAGATGAGGATAAGTGACAATCAAATTAAAATAACTAGAAAACATTTGAGTCAGATTTGAATTAATTCTGGAATTACGGAATTTAACCATCATGCTAAACCCAGATGCTGGGACTATTCCTTCATGTGAAATCTGTTAGTAACATTGGTAGTAACATTTTCTTCTGCCAGACTCATCCATATACTTGTTGATGAATTGGCTTTATTTAGACAAGAAAGAATCTAGTAGTTGCCATTATTGCAAGCAGAGGAAAAGTAACATTTAATGAATCTTTCCTGTGTTCAGTGTCTCATCTGATGCTATCAATATTCTTGCTAAAATAAAGACCAACCCCACTGCCATTCAGTTGATTCCAACTCGTAGTGACCCTATAGCACAGAGTAGAACTGCCCCATAGGGTTTCCAAGGCAGTAAATTTTCACAGACTCAGACTGCCTCATCTTTCTCCCACAGAGTGGCTGGTGAATTCGAGATGCTGACCTTTTGGTTAGCAGCCCAGTGCTTTAACCACAGCTCCACCAGAGCTCCACAGTTTGCTAGATAGGAATTATTGCTGCTACTAAGAGGCTTAGTAAATTGCCCATGATCACACAGCTGGTAAGCTGGAGACCATGAATATGTCTGATTATAGGAGAGCTTATCTTTGATCCCAATCATCAATGGATAGTCCACCTATTGTTAAATATGATAGGAATTATTTTTGTGCTAAAGGTATTTACCAGTATCCTTAACTATCCAAAGATGTATTCTTCACAGCCATTATGGTTTTTCTCTTCCTCATTCCTGTGGTCACCTTCTTTCTTTTTAACAGCTCTCTTCTTTCTTAAAATTTAGTCAGATGATGGACTATAAAAACCCTCAAAGGCTGAAAGCTTTTGTGTCTCTGCACTAGCTGTGGTAGCAAAATGCCCAGAGGTGATAGATCTTCAAAGAAAAAGGTTCCTGGTAAGAAATGGGGTTTCTTTTTGACTAAAGGAAGTAAACACTATTTCCTGGTTTTGCTATTTTTGTCTACATTTTTTTTTTTTCACAGAGATGCATTATCTTACTGAAAAATTAGATGCTTTTAAAAATGTGATACATCACATCTGTATTTACTTTTTAATTATCTCACCCACCTGGCCTGTAAAATTGGTTATTATTTTTTCACACCTATTTACTTCATACCTACTAGGTCCTGTTACAGAAGTCAAAACTGACATATATGTTACCAGCTTTGGACCTGTTTCTGATGTTGAAATGGTAGGTATTTGATAAATTTAATGTAATTTTTGAGATTTGAAAAACATACAGAAAAGAAGGCAATTAATATTCATTTTGTTGTCAGTTACGCAAAACTAGAAAGTAGAGGAATAGTTCAATTAGACTCAAAAGTTTTCTAAGAAGATAGACATTGAATTTGCATCTCAGCTGTAACATCAGAATATTTTTTTAGTTTGGAGTCAAACCCAATGCAGAAAAGAACTTTGTTGTTACTAGTCCACATAGCACAATCATGTGTATAGGTTTGTTGTTATTGTTGCTTTTTGCTGAGAAAATACTGAGGCAGAAAAATTAGAAAATATAATTAGTTTGAGTATGAAACTAAATTCTAGTCCTAAGAGACTTGCATTTTAACATGTCGTGTTAGCCCAATTGCTCACACTCCCTCTCTGTCACTATTTCTTTCTTCTTCAATTGCTCTTATGATCAAAAAACTTAGAATATGAAGGAATGAATCAGGATACTTTCATCCATTCAATTCTGCTGTCATATACTAAATACAGTTTATATGAAAAAGAGGCTATTTGATATTTTTCTTGGATCAGAAGCTTCTTGTGATTTGAAATCCTTTAGCAATTTGAATAAATTTAATAAAGTTTGTGAACATAAAACTTCTCTGATCTTTTACATATTTCATTCTGTCTTAAAGAAATGCCTTCTATTTTATGTTAATTATGCAATGATATTTGTTACACATTAATTCATTTTGCTACCTGGTCTAAATTAAAGTACAACTGTAATTACCTGCTGTTGACATTTTTATTAAAGTATAGTAATTATTCTTGAGTGACTACTATGTATGGTAATTTATTTATCTGACAAATGTAGTAGATTAAGTTATCAGGATGGACATAACATGCTTTAATTGCTGAGAATCTTTTCCACTGACTTAAAATGATTTCTACTCTGATGAATTACATTTTTGTTTGGAGTAGTATTTTTATGAGTGGGAAAGAAGGCAAGATTTAGTGCATTTTATGTGCACATTTGTTTGTAGTAATCTGTGATTTGAATATGCCACACACTCCTTTCCCTAGGAATACACAATGGATGTCTTCTTCAGACAGACGTGGATTGACAAAAGACTAAAATATGATGGTCCTATTGAAATTTTGAGACTGAACAATATGATGGTAACAAAAGTATGGACACCCGATACTTTCTTCAGGAATGGAAAGAAATCTGTCTCACATAATATGACAGCTCCTAATAAGCTTTTTAGAATTATGAGAAATGGCACTATTTTATACACAATGAGGTAATCCTTTCCTTCCTTTTTGTGTTAGGGGAATCTATAGAACTTTTTTAAAAAAGGCTGATTTTGTTTAATTGCATTTTTCCATCTTAGACTTACCATAAGTGCGGAGTGTCCCATGAGATTGGTGGATTTCCCCATGGATGGTCATGCATGTCCTTTGAAATTTGGGAGTTGTAAGTTAAAATAAAAATGTTTTCAAAATTTATGATCATCTCATACAAGCTTATATTTGTATTTCTGAGTGATTTTTCATAATTTAATATTTATCAGTATCAATGACAATTGTTCAAGATTTGGTTTTTACAAGATTGTTTATTTACTAATATTTTAAGATAAGAAAGTAAAAACAGCCTCTTTTTCTCTAAAAGCAAACAGCTGTATCTACATATATAGTCTAGTTAGATTGCCTCATAAGGCTGGCGGTTCAAACCCACCGCCACTGCTCAGAAGGAAGATTGAGCAACCTACTTCCATAATGATACTGCTTCAGAAACCCAAGGAGGGGTCGCTATGAGTCGAGTCCGACTTGACGGCACATAAGAACAACAACAACAATAGATTGCCTCGTGAACAGATTGGTGGTCATCAGTAAAATTTAGGAACCTCTGAATTCTACATGTTAGTGCTTGCTGTAACATAGAAAATGTAAATGTTTTTTTGTTCTCTGGATTTAACATTTTCTGCTATAAGCAGAGTCCTTTAAGGCCAATTTGGAAAAAAGGCCAAAGAAGTTTCAGGGCTTGCTGACCTGGCACAGGTTAGTATAACAGAAGTAATAGTATTAGTGTGAAAGTGGCTGGAGCATGGCAAATGCATTGTAGGAGATAGTCTGAGATATGGGTAGAGCTAAATGATATATTTGTATATAGTGCCTTATAGACCACGTTAAGTTTGTATTTTATTCTAAATGCTATGGGAAGCCATTGGAAGATTTTATAAAGAGACAGATATGCTTTGATCAACATGTCTCAATATCATTCTGGCTTTTTAATAAAAAATCTCCAAACCAAGCTCACTGCCATCGAGTTGGGTCCAACTCATACCGACCCCTCCTTGGGTTTCCCAGGTGGTATCTCTACGGAAGTAGCTTGCCCAGTCTTTTGTCTAAAGAGTAGCTGGTGGGTTTAAACCGCCAGCCTTTCGGTTAGCAGTCAAATGCCTTAGGCATTACGCCACCGGAACTCCCAGTGGAGAATGGATTGCAGAGACGCTAGAATTGGAACAGAGAAGAGTTTGGACGCTATGTATTTGTTCAAAGATAACCAAAAACCAAACTCACTGCCATTGAGTCGGATCCGACTCATAGCGACACCTCCTTGGGTTTCTGAGGTGGTATCTCTATGGAAGTAGATTACCCAATCTTCCTCTGAAGAATGGCTGGTAGGTTTGAACCACCAGCCTTCTGGTTAGCAGTCAAATGCCTTAGGCACTACACCACCAGAGCTCTTCAAAGACAGAAGTGGCTTAGATTAGGATGAGAGTAGAGGAGATGGTGTGAAATAGATAGCTTTATGATAGTTTGTGGAACTGAAGGCAAAATGATTAAGTGAATGGATGTGAAAGAATATGTTAGTTTTTATTTCCGCCCCCCTCAGCTCCCTCTCTGAGATGGCAACAAAATGTGATTGCTTTTTCAAATGTCTGCCTGAAGCATTCAGTACAATCAGAATTTACCAAAAATAGATGGTGGCTTTTACTATTGCTCCAGACTCTTAGTTGCACTGATTTTGAAACTGTTATCTGTTGTTATCATTGCTCATTGCTTAACTTCGTGAGAATTGACAGTCATCATTCTTTTTATAACCCCTAGTAATCACAATTTTCACTGGCCTAACTATAAGCCAGAAAGAGTCTTTTTTTTTTTTTTTTTTCTGACCAGTGATTTAAGAAGAGAGGATATAAAAACAGAAAGACACATAGACAAAAAAACAGTGTTTTCATTGGAAATGAATTAAAATCCGTATGTGTTGTAATAATTTAAACTTAGGGTAGTTTTATCGAGAGGAAACCTATCCTACCAGTCATCCCCATCTATTTCTCGTACATAGTGCATTTCACAGTGGTATGAACATAGTGATGCTTAATGAGAGTTTGTATAAAATAAAAAGAAATCACATCTTGAAAGCTGCTGTTTTGGGTTGAGAATTAAAAAGGGAGGCACATAATACTCAGCAAATAAGGATTCTGATTACTCTGAAAAGACAAAAACCCCATTTAACTGTATTTACAAATAGCAATGAGAAAAATGAGGGAAGCAAGAGGCTATTCTAGCCAAGAGAAAGATACCTGATTTAAAATATCATGGCAGAAACATAGCATACAGGGACCTTACATGTATGAGGAAGTGTGAATATATTTCTGGAGGTAAACACTGACTATAACTGTGTATTGCTGAATGATAACACTAGCCTCACGTTTGTTTTGCAAGATCACTCATAAAGAAAGTCTCCTTAGATATTTACTCTTTTTGTAAGACAAAACAATTCTACCGAGGACCTACTGTGCTTGAGCCATTTTAGGAAAGTTTACAGGAGATGGTACAAAATGCATTTTGGTTCTTTTGAACTGATTTGTTTGTGAGCCAAGCTATCTATTCTGGGTAGTCTGGTAAGCAAGCAGCTGGTCTCCATTTCCACTGAACAGCGAATAATAGAAGATGGGCTTAAATTGCTGCTAGGAGGGATTTGTTGAAGATGGAAGGGAAAAATGTCCTGATTGTAAGAGTTTAAAGGTAGTGGAACTGGTTGTGTAATTATATTCCCTGGAAGGCTATACAAACAGCACAGCCAGTTGTCACTGCTGAATGGTTCCCAAACAGGAGGATATTACCCAGAGGCACAGTCTGGAATAGGTGACCCCTGGAGAGCTCTCCCAACACTAGGGTTGTTTTTGTTTTTGTTGTACTCTTATCGGCAGCATCTGGTATATTTCCAAATGGCAGAGCTTCATTAGGATGGAAGAAGTCATTATTGGTCAAGCATCAGAAGTGAGTGAGAATTGAGGGAAGTAGTAATTTGACAGTATTTTTGGAGAGGTTTACTATTTCTTCTTTTCTACAGCTTTTCCTTTTAGTTCAGAGATCATTCCAAGTGTATGCACTCATATGTAACATTTTAGTTGCTTTATTTTAGTCTTCCCTCTTCCAATTCTTTGGCATAAAAAAGAAATACTGTCAAGTTGTAAGGCCATTTATTTAATCTCTGCAGTTTTCTAAATCTTAAGAGTGTTTGAATAAACCATAATAATCATTGTTTTCTTTTATTCCATCTTTCTTGAAATGTGTTCTTAAGTGCTGATGCAGAGTGTTGATGAAAAGAGAGCACTGACCTTAACTTTATTCTATGCTCTCTTTCAGATGCGTATCCAAAGAGTGAGATGATCTACACCTGGACAAAAGGTCCTGAGAAATCAGTAGAAGTTCCCAAGGAATCTTCCAGCTTAGTTCAGTATGATTTGATTGGGCAAACAGTCTCAAGTGAAACTATCAAATCAATTACGGGTGAGATGCTTAACAATTAAAGTCAATAGCTACTTGGAACTAATAATTTAGTTTTGTCCTAGCTTTTTCATTGAAATATCCTGGGTTTTCAGGGAACCATAAGAGATTTCCTGAAATCCTTATTTAGTTTTTTATTTATAATTATAATCTTATTTTATTTTAAAATGTAATTGTGACATGGTGAGATGTGAAAAGTGAGTTGGTTTTCTTATTCAGAAACAAATCAGTAGCCAAATATATTAAAACTGTTTGCAACATAAATATTAAGAGGCAGGAAGTTCCACCACATATTTTTTAACACTAAAATTTCCTTTTTGTGTGTGTGCTTTCCAAAATTTTTTTTTATCTTACCTAATTTCATGATTCCTTTCTGCTTTTTTTTTTTTAAAAAAAAAAGCAAAAGCAAAATCTAAAGCTTAACAACAAAGCATATGAAGGGTATACTTTACAGAAGCCACAGAGTTGATGGATGATAATTATTCATAATTCTTATTCTGTAATTGCAAACAGGATGTGAATGGAAAGAAACATAGGATTTAGTTTTTATCATGTTAATGGGAAAAATCTGCTGATCATTGCTAATTCTAAATATATGCTTACATGTACATATCACCAGGAAAATACATTTTTTTTTTAATCAATGACATTTATGTTCTAATTTGCAAGTGGGAATTAAAAGACACCTGGGAGAATTTAGGGCATCTGAATCTTGGACTCAGTCTGTAAATAAGGCTACTGCTATGACCCTTTCATATATAACTTTTAAAATACTTTATCAATAGCTACTAGAAATCTCATGGTTTGTTTCACTTACTAGCTTTTTAAGTGCTTCGTCCAAATGCCTGTAAAACATCCTTGACCTCAGGGATGTTATGCATTCCTTTATGTTATACATGTTTTTTTTTTTTTTTTTTTAATTCATACAGATAACATTTAGAAATGCATGTCTTCTGTAAGTTGGTCTCTCCATAAACTAATGTGTGTGTATCTGTGTTTTCTCATATATTTTCTACTGACTTTTCATGAAGTGGGGTTTAATTTTATTCTCAAATGGTAAAAATGAAGGCTAATTGCTTTAGCAATATTAGACTTTCAAAATAAAAAAAGCACTGCAAGAATTTTTTTTAAAGTTATAGCCCAATTTATTAAATTGCCAAGTTGCTACATAGAAAATGTTTTTCTCTATAATGATGTTTGGTATCATTTCCCCCCAAGTTACGAAACTACATACTTCTCAGTGTTTGAATGCTGTGCACAAAAGACAATTTCCTTGCCTTGAACGCTGATTGTTAGTCTGAAATATATGATTATGAAGCTGTTGAAAATTTGCCCACAGTCCCAATAACACATTTTCCTCATGTCTTATTTGTAGGTGAATATATTGTTATGACGGTTTATTTCCACCTCAGACGGAAGATGGGTTATTTTATGATTCAGACATACATTCCATGCATTATGACAGTGATTCTTTCTCAAGTTTCATTCTGGATAAATAAGGAATCAGTTCCAGCTAGGACTGTATTTGGTAATTGCAATTCATTTCTTGGATTTGTTGTCTATATTATATATTGATCATGATTCATGGGAATAGCTCTTAGGATTTGTTTCTAAGAAAGCCTTAAACAGTAATCTATCAGGCTATACTGCATAAAGAATCATACACACTTTCATTTTTATTTAGCAAATGCAGAGTAATAAGGTCTGTGGGAATGAGAGCAGTTTGTCCCTTCCTCTGAGGTCCCATCATATTTCCCTTGTTGATAACCAGGCATATGAGGACCAAGTGTGACCCTGCCTGTAATTTCAGTTTTGATGATATATTCTTAGTCTCTAGCTTAATGCTGTGTAATTGAATTAAAATTATATCTAGGTGTTAAAATGAAATGCACTGGGAGCTTAAAATAAAACGAATAAAAGTCATGGATGAATGAATATGAAAGCTTCAGAATAATTCGGCTTTTAATAAAGAGGAAAAATGAAATGGTTTAAATGCATTGAATTGGAAGATATTATACCCTTCGTTTACTAGTGTTATAGTGTTATATATTACATCTTTGTATTCTTATAGTGGCTTCCTATATATGGTATTCTAAACCTTATGAACCCCGAAACACAGGCATGCTAAATGTTTATAACTGTGTAAGTCTTTATCAGGCACACTTTTAAATAGTAAAATCAGTTACAATGGTATTTAATAACAGCATTATTTCTCTAGGTTACTGTGAGTAGCAGAAGCATTAACTTGTAAGAAGGAAAATGAGAATTGCTGTGGAATGGAAGTAGTCCTCATAAAAGATGCATATTTCTCTTTGCTTTTCTGTTTGGTAGGATCAAAACCATGCTACACTGCCTCTTTCCAACAACCTCTGAAGTGATGCTGGTGAGAAGGGACTAGGGATAGTAGGCACTTTTCCAAAATTCTGATGCTTCTCATCCTTCCTCCCCACTCTTTTGTTGTTGTTGTGTGCCGTCGAGTCGGACCCGACTCATAGAGACCCCTCCTTGGGTTTCCAAGGCAGTATCACTACGGAAGTAGATTGCCCCATCTTCCTTCCGAGGAGTGGATGGTGGGTTTGAACCGCCAGCCTTCTGGTTAGCAGTCAAGTGCCTTAGCCATTATACTACCAGAGCTCCCACTCTTTTTAATAACTGCTAATATGCAGTGGTGTCTTAATGTCCATAGAGGAGCCCACAGTGGGGCTATTTCTTCCATAGACTCTGCTCTTAACCTTAGGTTCACCCAAGAAGGTATTGGAATCACACTGTAGAAATTCTTAAGGAAGCGTCATTGCTGGAGGTAGGATGTGATTCTTAGGAATTCACTGAGTGAGTGTAAGGATACTATTTATTTCATAAATTTGTAAAGATTTGATTAAAGAAAAATTGCACCTTGCAAGTGTTTAGTAAAGTTTAGCTATTAAAAATAGGTGTGATATTGAATGAGAAAACAAATCTGAGTTTTGGACTCCAACAGGTTAGGGTTTAAAACCTAAATCTTCTATCTTTTTTCCATCAGTAAAATTGTAATGGTAAATCTCTACCTCTTAGACTTCTTCTTGCATGTCATTGAGTTGATTCTAACTCATAATAAAAAACTCACTGTTGTCAAGTCAGATCTGACTCATAGCAACCCCTCCTTGGGTTTCCAAGGCAGTATCACTACGGAAGTAGATTGCCCAATTTTCCCTCCGAGGAGTGGCTGGTGGGTTTGAACCGCCAGCCTTCTGGTTAGCAGTCAAGTGCCTTAGGCACTATCCCACCAGAGCTCCCTATTCTAACTCATAGTGACCCTACATGACAGAGTAAAACTGTGTCTTAGGGTTTCCTAGGCTATGATATTTATGAGAGCAGATTGCCAGGTCTTCTAGTCCATGGAGCTGCAGGTAGGTTCCAACTGCTGACTTTTTGGTTAGCAGCTGAGTACTTTACCATTGCCCCACCAGGGCTCCTTCTTCATAGACTAGAGGAGATTGAAGACACTATTTAAAGAGTTACATACATACTTCTGTCATGAGAGGGAGACTTATTTTGTTCCAACTTGGTTTCTTATTTTATAATTGTTTTTAAAGAAAATATGTATCTTTCTAATATTTAGTACTGGATGCTCTGCTGAGATCTTGATGTTCAGTATCTTTTTTCCATCAGTAAAATTGTAATGGTAAATCTCTACCTCTTAGACTTCTTCTAAGTGGCACACTAATCCTTGGGTCTTTTCACACATGTTCAAGTGTGACTTAACTGGGTTTAAGTGCTTGCTGAGGTAGCATCAGATCAAAGTTCCTTAACTTTCCTCACTACAAATAATATCAATATTTTAGAATCATTATCATTAACAATAAAAAAGCACTATGTTTCTATTAAACTTTATAAATTAAAAAAATCATTTATACACGAATTATTATCTTTCTGGTACAGTCCTAAAGAACTTCTGGAACAGCAAATACTACCCAATGTAGGTGCCTCTGATAAAGATTTATTTATTTCATAAATGCTGCTCTGGGAGCCAGCCAGTCTCAGTTCTTCACCCAGGGCTCTGTCATTTAGTAGCTGTGGACCTTCAATGAGTTACCTCTGCCTCAGTTTCTTCATTTGTATAGTTTCTATGAGGATTAAATGAGCTAATTTGGATAAAGCACTTGTAATGATGCCTCTTCCATAGTGTAAATACTACTTAACTGTTATTTATTATTATGTCATTTCACAAATACCATCCTACTTGAGAATCACTTTTGCTATTACAATGTGAATGCCCTATGTATTTTATTGTTCTTGTTAATAACTTTCCGGTGCATTCCTGATTGATTTCCAAAATGGCATCCGCCGTTCTGTCACACTTGTCCCCAAAATAATATGAATTTCCAGTGTTACTGAGAGTGATACCACTGACCTCAATGGTACCACCCAGTATTTCATATTCAAATAAAATACTGTAAAGAAAGTAAGTATCATGTAGTAATGATGGAGTTCTGGGAGGTGTGAGCAGTTAATACACTAGGCTGCTTACCAATAGATTAGAGGTTTGAGTCTACCCAGAGGCTTCTCAGAGGAATAGCCTGATAGTCTACTCCTGAAAACTCAGAAATTGAAAACACTATGGAGCACGGTCCTCTCTGACATACATGGAGTCACCATGTTTCAGGATTGACAAGATGGCAGCTGGTAGTAATGATACTGGTAATACTAGTAAAAACAGTATGGTAATAATAATATTTACCATAATGGGATAGGCTTCATTTTACTCAATCTCCACAATAACTCAGCAACTTAGGTCTTGTTCATTTTTACAGATAAGGAAAATGTCTCAAAGAGACTAAGAAACTTGTATGAAGTCTCATACTTGTCAGCAGTGGACCCAAAACAAATTCTGTCTAGCTTTGAGGTCTGTACCATTTGTACTCTGCCACTGTGTTGTTATAGGGTTGGGAGGATATTGGAGCTTGTAGAGAATTTCAGAGCTGCTGAGTAAAATTGTATGAAATGTGTACTGAAGATACTTTATGGCACCTTTTTCCATTTGAAGGAGCCCTGGTGGTGCAGTGATTAAAGCATTTGGCTGCTAAGCAGAAGGTTGGCAGTTCCAACTTACTGGCCCCTCCCTAGAAGTATGAGGCAGTCTGATTCCATAAAGATGTACAGCCTTGGAAATCCTAAGGGGCAGTTGTACTCTGTCTTATAGGGTCACCCAAAGTTAGAATTGACTCAGTGCCGGTGGGTGGGTTTTTGTCATTTGAAATGTGATATTTGCCCCAGTCTTGTGCCCATATGCCAAGATACTGGTTTTGATCCACCAAGGAAATAATACCTAGCAATTAAGCCATGAAGACCTAGTAGATATCGGAATGGTTAATTAATAGTTTATTCATTAAGAATACTAGCTCTTTTCCAAAGAAAATTGAGTCTTAGTATATTGGGGACATTAATAATCTATTTCATGTGGAATTTAGATAAAAATTAATTCTAGGCTAGTTTTTTTCTCAGATACTTTTTAATAACATTTTATTGATATTTTTGTGAAAGTTTACAGAACAAACTGGCTTTCCATTCAACAGTTCATACACATTTTGTTTTGTGACCTTTATTGCAGTTCCCACAAAGTAACAGTACTCTTCCCATTTTCTTCCTGTGTTTACTGTTTCCATTCATCCTTCTTTCCTCTCCCTTCCTGTCTTCTGAGATTTACTCCTAGGCAAATGTTGCTCTTATGATCTCATGAGGTTGACTGATCTACGCATTTCCTATGTCCTTGGTGTTACTTTTCACCTAATAGACCTGTCAGCCATTCAGCTGAAAGTTGTGCCATGGGGCTGAGTTCAGTCCAGGCTTGAAGTACATCAGAGCGCCATAGTTTCAGAAGTTCCACCACTCTCTATCATACCAGTAAGCCTGGTCTTTTATTATTATTATTTTGAGTTTTCGTCCATGCTCTCTGTCCAGGAGTTCCTATTATGTTCTATTTCTGAGTGGTCAGCAGTGCTTTCTGGGCACCATCTAGTTCTTCTGATCTCAGGGTTCAGGAAGCTGGGGTTCACATGGTCCATTAGTGCTTTGGACTCTTTCTTTACATCTTTGATTTTCTTCACTCTTCTTTGCTGCAGACGGAGGGAGACCGATAGTTGCACCGTAGACTGGTTGTTCTTCACTTACCAGGAGAGAATTTGCTAGGTAAGAGTTGTCACTAAAGACAGTGCAAAAAACAAATAATAATAAAGTTGTTGTTAGGTGCCATTGAGTCAGCTACGACCTGTAGTGACCCCATATACAACAGAATGAAACACTGCTTGGTCTTGTATCAGCCTCACAATCCTTGCTATGCCTGTGCCCATTATTGCAGCCACTGTGTCAGTCCATATCATTGAGAGCCTTTGCCTTTTTTCAGTGACCCTCCACTTAACCAATTTTTTATATCCTTCTCCAGGGAATGATCCTTTCTGACAAGATGACCAAAGTAGGTGAGATGAAGTCTGGCCATTCTCTCTTCCAAGAAGCATTCTGGCTGCACTTCTTCCAGAACAGATTTGTTTGTTCTTCTGTCAGTCCATGGTATTTTCAGTATTCTTTGCCACCACCACAACTCAAAAACATCAACTTCTCTTAGGTCTCCCTTATTCACTGTCCAGCTTTCGCATGCATATGAGGCAATTGAAAATATCGTGGCTTGGATTAGGTACCTTAGTCTTCAAAGAGACATTTTTGTTCTTCTGCACTTAAAGAGGTCTTTTGCAGCACATTTGCCCAGTGCAATATGACATCTGATTTCTTGACTGCTGCCTCCGTTGCTGTTGATTGTAGAACCAAGTAATATGAAATCTTTGATAAGTTCAATGCTCTCTCCATTTATCATGATGCTGCTTATTGGTCCAGTTGTGAAGATTGTAATTTTCTTTATGTTGAGGTGTAATCCATACTGCTGACTGTAGTCTTTAATCTTTATCAGTAAGTGCTTCAAGTCATCTTCACTCTTAGCCAGCAAGGTTGTGTCATCTGCATATCACAGATTGTTAATGAGTCTTCCTCCAATGCTGATGATCCATTCTTCTTCATATAGTCCAGCTTTTCGGATTATTAGCTCGGCATATATATTGAATAAGTATGGTGAAAGAATACAACCCTGATGCACACCCTTTCTGATTTTAAACCATGCAGTATCACTTTGTTCTGTTTGAATGGCAGCCTCCTGGTCTATGTACAGGTTCCTCATGAGCATAATTAAGTTTCTGGAAAGCCCATTTTTCTCAATGTTATCCATACTTTGTTATGATCCACACAGTTGAATGATTTTGCATAGTCAATAAAACACAAGTAAACATCTTTCTGGGAGCTCTGGTAGCGTAGTGCCTAAGTCACTTGACTGCTAACCAGAAGACTGGTGGTTGCCACTCCTTAGGAGGAAGGTTGGGCAGTCTGCTTCCATAGTGATACCACCTCGGAAACCCACCACCACACCTCAAAAGCATCAACTCTTCTTCAGTCTTCCCTTTTCATTGTCTAGCTTTCATGTGCATATGAGGCTACTGAAAATACCATGGCTTGGGTTAGGTGCACCTTAGTCTTCAAAGAGACATTTTTTGCTCTTCAACAGTTTAAAGAGGTTTTTTGCAGCACATTTGCCCCATGCACTACAACATCTCATTTCTTGACTGCCACTTCCATGGGTGTGGATTGTGGATCTGAGTAATGAGAAATCTCTGACAACTTCAACCTTTTCTCCATTTTTCATGCAGTTGTGAGGGTTTTTATTTTCGTTATGTTGAGGTGTAATCCATACTGCAGACTGCAGTCTTTAATCTTTATCAGTAAGTGCTCCAAGTCAGCCTCACTTTCAGCAAACAAGGTTGTATCTTCTGCATATGGCAGGTTGTTAATGAGTCTTCCTCCAATCCTGATGCCGCATTCTTCTGCGTATAGTCCAGCTTCTCTTTTTGCCATAAAGGGACAAAATATTATATATAATCTTACAAGGAGCCCGTGGAAGCTTTTGATTGAAAGGCATTTTTAATGTTCTAGAACATTGATCATCCAGAAAGGAACTGGAATCAGAGAAAATGAATTGATGAGGAATTGAAAAAAAATGACTTTCTGTTTATTGCGTGTTTATCTTGTGCCTGGGACTATGTGAAATATTATAGCAAATCCTGAAGGAGTATAGGACATATCTGCCCCCAAGGAGATTTATGGACAATTTAAATGTGGAGACCAGGCATATACACATGGGGCAGCTAAGGAATGGTACGAAGCAGAATATAATTAAATGCGAGGTTGAGAAGCACAATGTTATTTCACCCTAAATGAAAGTATTATGATTTCTTTAGTGTTGTGTGGAATTCATTATCTCTTCAGTTCAAAATATATTATTTGCCTTTCAGCTGGGACTTGGCATGGATTGAAATTACAGTTTAAATATGTCCATCACCACCACCACTACCACCACTACCACCGTCATCATCATCATCCTTCCCCCCAGGCACCTGGGTGTGTCATCTTCAGGAGCTATACTTGTATTATATAAAATGTATTTAAATGGATGTAGTAAATCCCTGCAGGAATTTCTGAGCTTAATTAGATATTATGAATTAGGTAGGCAGATATAGATTCAGAGAAGGGCAACAAACACTAACATTCTTAAATAATCCCCTTTTCTGTAGTCAGTGGCATTGGACTTTTCCTACTGAAAATGAAGACTAACCTTTCTTCCAGGATGAGAAGAAGGCTATCCTGGAAGTGGTATGCTTCAGAAGTCTATCGATGGACGAGAAATACCTCTGTTCCCATTGCCAATATTTTCCTTCCATCTGTAAACTGATGGGTGGTAGATATCCAGTACTTTTAAAGCCAAATTGCTCTGGAAACCTATTTGGCCAGGAATATACATTTATTGTTTTATATAGAGTAGGCTTCCTCACAATTAGTAAACATATATTTTAGTTTAAACAGATCATATCCAATTAAAGAATTATGAACACTTATAATTTGTGCTTTTATTCTGCCAATAATTCTCAATAGCAGAGGGCCATGTCTGTCCTAGAAATGTTGATGCTTCCACCTTTCCACTCCGACTTGAGAATCACAGCTTCAATGTGTCACTTTTCCTACTAGGTGTATACAATTAGTTCCTCTGGCATGTTAGCTCAGATACTATTATCTACGCACTATCTGACAGGTGCCTTGGGTAATTTTAGTCTTTATAGCACATCTAATAGGTGGGTATCAAATGAATACCTACTCAGTGAGTTCTCTTAACTTAATCCAAGTCACATAGAGCAAGGGTTTGAAGCCATGTACATCTCTCACCAAAGCATGTGCTAATTTCACTGAACCACTAGGATTAGAATCTTCCATCAAAGATCATTTTATTTGGTTCATTGCAAACTTTGTTACCCGTCATCCTACATAACCTTAAGTTTCTTTATTTGGTTGACTTTTGTGTAGAAATATTGGTAAGATGTTTTGTCTCTTTGCTTTTTGCTTTGAAGGAATAACCACAGTCCTCACCATGACCACACTGAGCATCAGTGCAAGACATTCTTTGCCCAAAGTGTCCTATGCTACTGCCATGGATTGGTTCATAGCTGTTTGCTTTGCTTTTGTATTTTCGGCCCTTATTGAGTTTGCTGCTGTCAACTATTTTACCAATATTCAAATGCAAAAAGCCAAAAAGAAGACATCAAAACCACCCCAGGAAATTCCAGCAGTTCCAGTGCTGAGAGGAAACCATCCAGAAGCACCTCAGCAGGTATTTGACTTAATCTGTCAATTTAAGATTTTAGCTATTTATTCAAGTTGGTAATGCCACGGGAAGAACTCTGAGAACTTAAAAATTCCAATCACAACGTGTAAGTTATTTAAAAATTCATAAAATGTAAAGTGTAATTATAATTTAAACTTCAAAACTGTAATTGCTATTGTTTTTGGCTGCTGTTGAGTCGATTTTGATTCATGGTGACTCCAAGTTGTAAGTAATAGATTAAAAATTAAACAGCACTGAATGAAATAGATGTGAATGGATCTAGTTCTTTGAAGCTACCTTTCAGAATTAAAATTTTTGCCATAAAGGGGCAAAATATTATGTATAATCTTACAAGGAGGCTGTGGAAGCCTCTGATTGAAAAGCATTTTATTAGTGTTCGTTGAACAAAGTAAAACATTGATTCTTAACTTTCCCCATGGACAGGGTGGAGCCTGTGTCCTTGTATTGAAAAGAAAAGTAATAAACAGTAAGACCCACAGATGGTATATACAACCAGGATCGAGAATTCTTACCCTAAGGAGTCGGATCTATGAGGAAGTGGAAGGCTGAATAAGAGCCACTGCAAGTTACATTTGCCACATCAGTGATTCTGTACTTTAATCACAAAAACAAAATGAAAAAATTGCTTCATTCCTCATGGACTCAAGTTGCAAGAAAAATAACAATATCCTGATGATAAGGGGAAAGCAGTCAGTCTGTGTGTGTCTGTCTTTCTCTCCTCTTCTTTCTTCATCATTTTTTCCTTCCTCCTTGTTCTTCTCCAACTCTTTCTCTTCCTCTCTCACTCTCAAGCTAAGCTTCCTTCTTGATCAAGTGTCTGTGGTCACTAATATATAGCCTATTCTTGCTGCCATAAGTGACAGATTCAAATTCCCTGCGTCTGCACGTATAAAAATTGACTTTATTCTCTGTAGATGACCATTCATTCACTCACATATTCATTCATTCAACAAATATATTTTTTCTTTTTTTTTTTAATTGTTATTTGGGTGAAAGTATATAGAGCAAATTGGTTTTCCGTTAAAAAATCCATACATATTCTATTTTGATTTTTTGTCTTTTGGACATTTACTGAAGTCCCCACATTATAACAGCATTCTTCCCACCTCCTTCCTGCCCTCTCCTCTTCCCTTCATCTATCCATCCCATGCCCTCCTGCTAGCCTTCCTAGCTGTGTTACTGGGCAAATGCTATCCTCTTAGTCTCATATGGTTGATTGTTCTAATAAGAGCATACCTTCCTGGTATTATTATTCCCTCCATAGTCCTGTCTGTCATTTGGGTGAAAGTAGAATCATGAGGTTTGAGTTCAGTTCCTGGCTTGAATGGTGTCTAAGGGCCATTGTTTTGGGGTTCCACCAGTCTTCATCAGACCCGTAAGCCTGGTCTTTTTATCATTTTGAGTTTGTTCCCTATTTTCTCCCACTCCATCTGGGATCTCCTATTGTGATCCCTTTCAGAGGGGTCAGCAATGGTGGCTGGGCACCGTTTAGTTCATCTGGTCTCAGGGTTGTGGAGGCTGGGGTTCACATGGTCCTTTAGTTTCTTGGACTAAGTGTTTCCTTGTGTATTTGATTTTCTTTATGCTCCTTTGCTCTGAACAGGGAGAGACCAAAAGTTGCACCTTAGAGTGCTGCTTACAAGGTTTTAAGACCCTGGTCACTTCTCACCAAAGTAATATATAGAACATTGTCTTTCTAGACTATGTTATGCCAGTTGAACTCAGTGTCCCCTGAGACTGTGGCCTTGAGCCACTGTGCTCAGTGATTCATTCCCTCAAGGTGTTTGGTTATGACTAGGACTTTTCCCTGTATGTTCTACTATATTCATGGATATATATATTTAAAAAAAAAAAAAAAAAAAAAAACCTCATTGCCTTCAAGTCAGATCTGACTCGTAGTGACCCCTCATAGTGACCCCTCCTTGGGTTTCCAAGGTGGTATCACTACAGAAGTAGATTGCCCAGTCTTCCTTCTAGGGAGTGGCTGGTTGGTTTGAACCACCAGCCTTCTGGTTAGTAGTCAAATGCCTTAGGCACTAGGTATAGATATCCTCTGTCAAACATATTCATGATATATAGTCCCATTTGCCTTACCACCCTGTTCAGATTGAGTGTCTATCTATGTAGCCACTCATAGGGTATTGTTATTACTGTTACTGCAGAACTGTGTATGTGGTAGTATTCACCATTGTTGACTTTAACTCTTGTTCTCCTTCCACTGCCTGGATCATTTTATACTGATCTCCCACTTATTTTACATTGTCTTTCCCTTCACTGAAGTTAATACCTGTCTACCCTCTAGTAGGAGTTCTGGTACTGGAGTGCTTAAGGCATTGACTGCTTAACAGAAGGTTGGCAGTTCAAACCCACCAGCCACCCTGCGGAAGGAAGACTGAGCTATCTACTTCTGTAAAGATATACTGCCTCAAAAACTCAAAGGGGTCACTATGAGTCAGAATCAACATGATGGCAGTCAGTTAGGTTTTGGTTTTTACCCTCTAGCTGGTGATTTTCCCTCCATACCTCTCCCACCCCTGGTAACCTTCAAAGAATATTTCTTTTCCTGTGTATACCTTTTTTAAACTTTTACAGTAATCATCTCATACAATAATTGCCCTTTTCTGATTGACTAATTTCAGTCACCACAATATTCTGTAGATTCATCCATGTTATGAAGTGTTTTGCAGATTCATCATTATTCTTTTAATATTGTGTAGTATTCTGTTGTGTGTATGTACCATAGCTTTTTTATCTATTTTTCCTTTGATGGACACTTGGGTTGCTTCCATCTTTTTGCTATCATGAATAATTCTGCAATGAACATGGGTGTGACTATATCTGTTCATGTCATAGCTCTTATTTTTCCAGCATATGTGCTTAGGAGTAGGATTGCTGGGTCACATGGTATTTCTATTTCCAATTTCTTAAGGAAGCACCATATTGCTTTCCATAGTGATTATACCATTTTACAATCCCACTACCAGTCTGTGAGAGTTCCAGTGTCTTCACACCTTTGCCAGCATTTTTGTTTTATGTCTTGTTGAACTTTGCTGTTATTGTTAGGGTGAGACGCTATCTCATTGTTGTTTTGATCTCTCTAATGGCTAATGAACACAAGCATTTCTTCACATGTTTGTTGGCTGCCTGAATATCTTCTTTGATAAAGTATCTGTCCATATCCTCTGCCCATTTTTCAATCGGATTGCTTCTCTTTTTTTTTTTTTGAGATGCTTGTTGAGGTGTCAAAGTTTTCCATACATTTTAGAGATTAGCCCCTTGTCCTATACATCATTGCTCAAATTTTTTTTCCCTAGTCTCTATAGTTTCTCTTTTTCACTCTTTTAGAAAAGTCTTTTCTTGTTGTTTTTTTTAAATTTTTATTGTGATTTGAGTGCAAATTTACAAAGGAAATTCATTTTACTCTCCACAGTTCATACACACTTTGTTTCACAGCACCGATTACAATCCCAACAACAAACAGCTCTCCTCCCATTGCCTCCCTGTAACCACCCCTCCCCTGTGTCCTTCTCATCTGTGCATTCCTGTCTGTCCAGCTTTTCCCCTCACAAAAATCCTCACAACTGGATCAGTTAGCAGCATCATGATAAATGGAGAAAAGAATGATGTTGTCAAAGATTTCATATTACTTGGTTCCACAGTCAACACCAATGGAAGCAATCAGAAGATGTATTGCACTGGGCAAATCTGCTGCAAAAGACCTGTTTAAAGTGTTGAAGAACAAAGATATCTCTTTGGAGACTAAGGTGTACCTGACCCAAGCCATGGTATTTTCAGTCACCTCATATGCATGTGAAAGCTGAACAATGAATAAAGAAAACCAAAGAGTTGTTGCTTTTGAGTTGTGGTATTGACACAGTATACTGAAAATACCATGGACTGCCAGAATGAACAAATCTGTCCTGGAAGAGGTGCAGCGGGAATGCTCCTTGGATGTCAGAATGGCCAGACTTTGTCTCACCTACTTTGGTTATGTTGTCAGAAGGGACCATTCCCTGGAGAAGATACAATGCTTGGTAAAGTGGAGGGTCAGCAAAAAAGGGGAAGACCCTCAATTAGATGAATTGACACAGTAGCTGCAGTGATGAACTCAAATATAGCAAGGGCTGTCAGGCTGGTGCACAACTGGGCAGTGTTTCCTTCTGTTGTACATAGGGTCTCTATGAGTTGGAGCTAACTTGATGACACGTAACAACAACAACAATTGGTTTTGTATATGTGCCCTTTATTATACTGAGAAATTTCCCTTCTATTCCCATTTTACTGGAAGGATTTTTTAATCAAGAATGGGTATTAGATTTTACCAAATGCCTTTTATGCATCAATTTATGTGATCATGTGGTTCTTTTTCTTTGTTTTATGTATGCGATGGATTACATTGATTGTTTTTCTGATGTTGAACCGTCATCCTTGCACACTTGGTAAAAATCCAACTTTATCATGGTGTATTATTTTTTTGATATGGTGTTGGATTCTGTTGACTAGGATTTTGTTGAAGATTTTTTCTCTCTATTCATGAAGTATATTGGTCTGTAGTTTTCCTTTTTAGTGGTTTGGGTACCTGGTTTTGATATCTGGGTTATGCTTGCTTCGCAGAATGAATTTGGGAGTATTCTATCATTTTCTTTTTTCTGGAAAAGTTTGAGTAATATAGATATCAATTTTTCTGTGAACTTTTGTTAGAATTTCCCAGTGAAGCCATCCAGGACATGACTTTTTTTTTGTGGGGAGTTTTTTGGTTTGTTTGTTTGTTGTATGACCTGGTCAATTACTTCTTTTGTTCTAGGTCTGTTCAAGTATTGTATCTCAGACTGTGTTGGTATAGGTTAAGTCTTGTGTTTCTAGAAATTTGTCTATCTCTTTTCGGTTTTTGAATTTGCTGGAGTACAATTCTTCATCTTTTTTATTTCAGTTGGTTCTGTTATGATGTCACCCATTTCATTTACTATTTATGTTATTTTCATCTT